ATTCTGAATCTGAAGTGAGGTTGTGCAACTACAGCGCTTACTTAGGAGTAAGCCCCATTGTGCTTGGAGTCCATTGTTTTTTAAATCAACATGGTTTGTAGTCTTCCAAACTGCTGGGATAAGGGAAGACTAGGCAGGTAGGATTTCCTTCATAGTAACATGTGTGGCATAGGCACTCAAATTCTGATCATTGTTTCCAATTTTGAAAATTTGCTTGGTAGCCTTGATTTTTAACGAATTTCATCTTGGTAAACCAAAGAGCACCAGGGTCTTAAATTCTGATCTTAACGCCATTTATGTGGACACATTCCCTGCTGGCCCCAAAGCACTGAGTACTGTGTTATTTATTTTCTGCACATAAATCCCTCTTTTAAATCCTTTTTCAAAACCAAACAATATTGATGGTTTCTTCAAGGCAGTTTGTAAGAGAAGGGATAGACCCACAAAAGTTTTTATGGCACAATATATTTTGACTATTCATGGGGGAGAGGTTTGCTTCTCAGTAAGTATATTTGTCACCTCAAATTTCTTATGAAATAAATGGGATTTATTTTAAAGACCAGAAAAAGCTGGAGTTAATCTTATTTCACCAGTTTCAGAAAAGTCATGCTAATGACTTTTATTTTTAATTTAATAGGGCTCACAAGAAATTTTCAGGAAAGCCTAAGCGCTGGCTAGGTCTGTTTCATATTTTAGTAAGACACGGGGTCTTTCTGACCCTGGGGAAAATCTTTTAAAAATGGCAGTTCAGAGTTTTCTCAGAGGTCAGCCATTCTGCCAGAATAATTAAATCCGATCTACAGCAAGTGGCCCTTTTTTTTTCTTCTTCTTCAAACAGCACTTGGGAAAATAATGTTTTTTCTCCTATAGAGGAATGTTAAGGTGAGCTGTGTCTTTTTCTTATTGAAATGCCTCGTCTTAATGACGCCAAGTGCTTAGAGGGGGAGGCTGAATCTCCCCCTTTTTTGTGGTAAATGCAGATTCTTTTGCCCCACCTGGGCCTCAGCCAGTGCTATGAATCAGCACCTGCATGCCAGATTGGGAGATAACAGAGCTGGGTTTAATTGCTGGCTGATTAGTCTCTCCCCCCCCTCCTTTTTTAACCTGGTCAATTGCATCTTCTCTGTGCTTTTCACCTGGGTCATTTTGAAAGTGGGATGGGGTGGGTACTTTCAACTTTCTGGCTCCCTCTATATTCCACTGCTTCTGGAAGAAGCAGTATTTTGACTGGTGACATGTTTAATAAACATAGGGGAAGCGGAGTGACACATCAATGTTAATGAAACCAGCTTGGAGTTTCCTGCGAAGAGATTCCCCAGAGACTCCTCAGAAAGAAAAAAATATGATTGAAGCCACTAAGCAACCATGTATGATTGTGATGGGATTTACTAGCGTGGTACACAGTGGGCAGTTTCATACATCATGCTCAACCCCTAATCCTGGTTTAAGCAAAAGGCCGTTCTCAGCATTTTCATAAGATGCTATGCCTGAAGGAATAAACCGTGTGATAGCTTAAAGTGATGGCTTGTGTGTTATATGGTTGCTTGCAGCATGCTAAACCATCAACTAACCCTGATTTTAGCTTAGAATCTTTGAAGAGCCCTACCAATGTATTGGTTATCTTGGGTGGTTAATTTAATAAACTATGGCTAAGTTAACTATGGATCCATAGATCATAAATCATAATTCAAGAATAGCTCTTAATACTATATTTCCCTCCTTCTCTTGAAGCTTAAAAAATGAAGATAAATGTAAAATGCTTAATGCCCTAATCCTGTGCAGTTCCAAGCTAAGTTGCATGGAATTTACTCAGAGAAAAAAAGCTATAGAATGGACATCCCAAAATGATTCTGGCATGAATAATTTCCAACCAATTTTATTAAAATGCATAAGCTTTCACAAATAAAATTTGTTAGAGGCTACTAGATTCTCCCTGATTTTAACATCAAATCTGTAAACCAGCAGGGGATTTGTGTAGAATTGCTTTAAAAATGCAAGGAAATCCTTCCACATGTTGCCTAGAATTTTTTTTTAAGCCACAATTTGACTCAGGCAAAATTTAACACTTTTTGTATGTAATTTCAGTGGAAGCAATCGTGATCCTTCATATCCCCCTAAAGTCAGGTCAATAAAACACGTCCTCAACTCACAGTATGCCTTCCAAGCTGAGATGTTAGTAATTCTATCTGGATCTCAGCCCGCAAAGCTTGCAACATTTAGGCCGGTAAATCTAATCCAAAGTGCACTCCTTTTTCTCTCTACCAAAAGGAAATTGCAGTGTCTGTGTATATGTGTGTGCCTATAAACCTTTCAAAGGAAAGTGGTTCTGTTTTAAATTTTTTTCCCCAGGACAGAAACTATTTTCTTAATCTATTTCCACTAATTTCTTCCTTTCAAGTAAGTCTACTTTGCACTGCACACAGGGATGTGTGCTTGTGTGTTGCTATTTTTTTTTTTTAAAAAAGACAAATACAGACAGAACTTGAGCAACCAACCTGCCTGCAACTTATCAGAAGGAATTCCACCCAGAGTTTTCCAGAGTATTTTGTGGAAAGCTTCTAGAAGTCAAAAGGATGGGCTCTCCTATTTTACAGATGACAGAACCGGGACAGTGCCTTGCATAGATAGGTGATAGATTGATAGATAGACAGACAGACAGATAGATGATATAGTCAACCGTAGATTGGGAAGAGCAGCTACATCTGGGTTTTGATTGCCTCTGCACCAAGCTGAGTGGAGCAGATTTGGTTTTTAAATTGCCAGCACCCTCTTCCCTATGATTGGGAATATTCCCGGCTGTGGACCTGGAATGAGGATCGAGTGGGGGACAGTTTCTTCCTTTTGGGGACTAAGGAAGGATCTCAGCTCGGCAACGAAGATCCCAAAAATAGAGCAACTTAGCCGGGCTCTCTCTACGGCGTATTATAGCAACGGGGCGCGAAAACTCTGCCCTTCCAATCAATGGTAGGGGGTTTTAGCTAGAAAAAATGGCGAGGGAGACGAGACAAATGTAGAGATAAGGGCATTTTCAGTTACGTATTTATTCCCAATGCGTGATGCTTATTCTGAGACGATAACATCAAATAATAATGCAATATTGTAATATGGCAGGCTTTCCAGACCAGTAGCGTTTTCCTTTGCCGCACGCCGTCCTTTTCCTCGGGCGTAAAGGAAGCGTTAAGGTCGCTTAGCGAGCCAACTCGAAGGCTTTATTATTATTATGCTAAATCCATTTCGCCAGGCGACGAGCGTCCCACGCCCGGGAATCGCCCAACGGTTCCCGAAAAAGTTCTGCTTTCTTTAGGCAGAGCTCCGGCTGGAGGAGTTAAATTCTCCTCTGGGGAGAAGGATTAAAATAAAAGGCCAACGGCGTCGGACACAATAGGGAGAGAGGGGGAGGTCCGGACCATTGGCAGTGTCCCCTCCCCTCCCACGTCCAAGATTCTTCCCGGCGTCAATGTAGAAATAGGTCTTCTGGAATTTCACCAGGGATCGGCGCCGTTTCCCCCTCTTCTCTCCCTCCTCTCCCCCCGGCTGGGAATCGGGCGTCCCCGACCCTTGCACCCGCAGAGCGGGATTGTTGCCTATCCAGGCAAGCGGGTAAATAGGAGCGAACCCAGTTCTTTCCATTAGAAACCAGTAAACTGAGCAGCGGCTCGCTGACCCGGGTCCAGAGCAAAAGAGATCCCGAAGGTGGATCGAGCTCTCCTGCCGAACGGATCCCTTGGGTCTCCAAGGCCCCGTTTGATGCGCCGTTTGATGCGCTGTGTCTCTGTCTCTCTGTCTGTCTCTCTGTCTCTCTATCTACCTACCTACCTACCTACTTGTCTGTCTGTCTGTCTGTCTGTCTGTCTGTCTGTCTGTCTGTCTGTCTGTCTATCTATCTATCTATCTATCTATCTATCTATCTATCTATCTATCTATCTATCTATCTATCTATCTATCTATCTATCTATCTATCTATCTATCTATCTATCTATCTATCTATCTATCTATCTATCTATCTATCTATCGCCTTAACGTAGAAGGAAGCGCTACTCTTTGCAAGGGGGCGGCGGGGAGCCCTTGAGCGGTTTCCCAGGGGCTGCACACGACAGGTTGCTTTAAAAGCACCAGATGACGATCGGGTCTCGGGAGAGGTTTTCAAGCTAGTTCTGTGGGAGACGCGCCAGTATTATTTAAGGAGTAGCTGAATTCGGGGGGGGGGGGAAACAAGGGAAATACTCGGCTTTAGGTTCAATCCCCTTTGCGCTTCCTCTTCTCATTTATAGACGTTTAGATGCACGATTAGTTCTACCCCGATTTTTATTTAGGAGTTAGGCAGTGCGCCAGGGTCTCTTCTCTTCGTTTCTCCCCTATTTTTATTTTTTAATCTCAATTATACGGCTAGGGGTGGCATTTATACAACTCTCTTAAGCTGGCAGCCGGTTCATCCGTTTGGCGAGTTCGCCCTCCAGATTTGCCTCTGAGAAACCCTACGGACAGGGCTCACCCTACGGCTTTAAGCCATCCAAAGCCTAGGCGAGAACCCGTAGGGACCGCTGACCCGATTCAATGGGTCGTGTGAACGACATCGGAAGAATTCTCTCCCCCGTCTCCCAAGACATTAGCTAATCTCACTAGCCCGGCACTCTTATTTGGTAGGTTCAGCTTTGGGGGGGAAATTTTTTTCCCAGGCGGCGCGAGTTGTTTTCCTTCGTTCTTCCTGGCTTTCGCGTCTCCCCAACTTCGGTAGGGGAAATCCAGCGAAGGGAGCCGCGTCAAAGGGGTTAATTTTTCTCGCCGTGCGGGGTCCAGCTGGAAGCGTGCGCCGCAGCGTGAAGCTCTCCCAGCCGGGTTGCGTGCGCGCATTGAGCGCTTGCCCCGCCCCGCTGCTAGCCATGCGTGTGAGTAGCCTTCGGGCAGGCTGGCGCTTTCCCAGGCGCGCGCGCGCGTGCGCGCTTTGGAAAGGCTCCAAAGGCCAAGAGCGCGAGCGGGGCGGGGTTTCTCGTGCTCACGCTAACTTCCCCATTGGCTAGCTTTGCGCCGCCTGTCAGGGGAAAGCCGCCTTGTCCTGGGCCCTCCCTCGGGAGGGGTTATTCTAATAAGGTGGCCATTAAGGGTGGCGGGATGGGAAAAGAACTTCAGTGATTAAATTCTCGGGCGGACTCTCTCTCCCCCAGCTATTTTGTTTATATGCCTGTCCTTAAAGCAGCTCCTTGAAGGTTGGGGAGAGAGTTCTACTTTCTCCAGCTCCCTCCTTGGATTTACCATACTTTAAGGCTGGGGTGCTTTACCTCCCCGCCCTTCGGGTTCATATCCTTATAGAATTGATTTTACTTATTTTTTTAAAAAAATAATTTTGGGGAATACTGGACGCCATGTTGTGGAAACTAGCAGACAATGTCAAGTACGAAGAAGATTGCGAGGTGAGAAGTTAAGACTATGAATGTGGCTAGTCCTCATTGATCAGACGGGGGGGGGTGTCTCGTTGCTGCTTTGGTTATTGGCTTTAAGTTCACGTCTACGCAGAAGTTGGGGGGGAGGGACAGATCAAAGCGAGCTTAGTGGACGGTTCCCCCGAGTTAAACCGAGCTATTGGAAGGTAAAACTTTGCTCCAGATTGTATTTGGGAGTATAGTAATCGGCTTCTAGGAGCGCTGCGTTCCGGGCATGTGTATCTGATACGATATGGGGTTTTCTTGGCATTCGTAGGGCTTGACTTAGTAAATAATTTAAGGTGCAAATCCTAAGCACGCTGAATTCAAGGTATAGTTTAAGGAATACCTTTACGGTCCAATCGGGTACTCGTAAATAAGTCCCGGGGAAATCGAATGAGCCTTACTCCCGGGCACGTACTTTTTAAGTGCGCTAGATCTCAGCATCGGATCGCTGAAATGTGAGTTTTCTGCTTTTAATTAGGTTGATCTATTAAAGCGCTGCCCGCGCTGCCGTTTTGACCCTGGTAAAAATGGTGATGGGGCGTCCAAACTTAAATCGGATGCGCTCTTTCCCATGTGTTGAAAAAAAGGGGTTCGGTTATTCCTTTTTTCTCTTTTTCAAAGCTGGCGGTGGGGGTGCTCTCGACGTCCTCGGCCTTGAATGTTGGGCTTCTGCCTCTTTCTTGCAGGGCCCCTGATGTCAGAATAAGGCTTTTTTTAAAAAAAGTTTCAGCCGGACTTCACTTTAGAGGGGAGGTACAGGATTTCCCTCGCATCCCCGCCGTCATCCGCTCAAAGGCGGCTTCGGAGTCGCCCTTGAATTGAAAGCAGCTTGGTCCACATTTAAATAGCTGTTTCACTTCCTCCAAAAAATAAAGGGTCTCCCTTTGGCTTTTGCGTTGTATCCCTAGAGGTGGATAACGAGTCCCCCCCCCCCAGGAGCATCCTTCGGATCCACCTCGCATCCAAAGGCCTCCCCCCCCCCCGTGCAACTTTTGTGCAACGCCTGAGACACCGCGAGCGCCAAAAGGGCCGGGCGCTTATTTCGCACTGCTCGCGTGGGACCGACTGGCCGGCCTGTTACTATCGTCTTTCCCGGAGGAAGATCGTGAAAATGCGGCAAAGAATATGCAGAATTCCTAAACTAATTATTCCTTCTCCCTAGTGCCAGCGTGACACCAGGCTTAGGTGGCGATCCCTTTAAAGCCGTGCAAACCTGGTGGGCTGTGTTCCTATAAAAACCTTAATCGGGTTCTTAAAAAGATCCCGTGGATGCGCGCGTCCAGGCTTAATTAAGCGTTCACTCTCATTCGCGCGGAGTCCCGCCTGAATTAGCTTGTTGCTCGAAAAACGAGGGTTATTTCAACAACCGCGTCAAAAGTCTTGTGCGAACACAGCCGTCCTAGCGCGCTCGGAAAGAACCGCCCTTGAACTCGACTGGGTTTACCCGTAAAGGATTATAACAACCTCCCCACCCCAACCTACCCCCGGTCCCTTAAAAAGAAAAGGAAATCTTGTTTCCTTCTTTGAAAACTTTTCGCTCCCGCTCTGCCCCAACGCTTTCCCCTCGCGAGGCAGGGAAAAAGGAAGAAAAATAATAAAAGCCTGGCTTTGCCGAGGAGCGGAAATGATTAATCCCTGCCGGCTCTTTCCACACCACCACCCCCAACCTCCCAATCCCGCCCCGCGGGAAATCCAGGCAAACTTTTTTTGCACGCTTCCAGGCCGAGGTGTGCGCAGGGCTCCAGTCCTCCCACGCGGCGGGGCGGGGTGTGGCGTGGAAGCGAGGGCCCGGGCGAGCGGAGCCTCCGAAGCCAACGCTCCAGCCTGTTGGACTGGTTCCGGCAGCGGGGAAGGGCAGGAGGAGAAAAAGAGGCCTCGGGAAGGGCAGGAAGACGTGGACGATCTTGGCACGTCCGAAGGGCACCGGAGCCCTCCCCCCTCGGCGCCTTTAACTGGAGCACCAAGCACACCTCGGGAAAAGGGGTGCCGGAGGGTTTGGAAATCCTAGCCAGGCTTGGTTTTCCCTTCAAGGCTCAGCGAAAAATTTGCCCTGGACTAGTTTACCTCTTGTGCTCAGGTGGCTGGCTGGCTTGCTTGACAAGCCCTGACCCGAGTCCTATTGGGGAAGGGGCGTGCCTAGGATGGACAGGACTTTCCGAAATTCCGCTTTTGCGAACAAAAGCATCGATCTTCCTCTTTTTCGATGAATGGGCATTTAAGCCTTGCGGAAAAAAAAAAAAAGAATTCGGGCGTTAATCGGTATCGATTGCTCTGCAATAGAAAAGCTTTCTGGTTGCAGCTTAAGCCTGGCCTTGCCCTCCCACCCTTTTGTTTAGACTGTTTCTCCCCACCCAAGTTATTTATTTAAATTACCTCCATTTGATTGCATATTTTTATAATGTCTTCCACGACACCCCCCCCCCCACCCAGGTGGGTCTTGCAGGCCGATTTCCTGCAACTTGTTTTTAAGGATCAGATAACAGCCCTACGGGGAGATTTTTGGCTTAAGCAGAAATAGTTACTGGGATGCCCCCCCCCCTTTCCTAAATGTCCCTACCCTCCCTTTTTGAAGAACCCAAACCAGATTGCAGTCCTCTTCCTGGCAATGGGAAAATGAAGAGTCCTGGTGACTCTAAAGTGCTGAGATTACACAATAGCCGTAGTTGAAATGTGACCAACTGGGTAGTGGGTGAATGCATTGTGTGAATGTAGACAAGTGCGTAGCCATAGCAAACTATGGTTTGAGTAAGCAAGATTAGCCATTGCGTTCTGGCAACCACTATGTCTTGAGTAATTCTCCTCCAAGGTATATTTTCCAACAAAATGATGAGCCTTTTGCTTGATTAGGAATACATATTTTAAGATGACAATGATTGTATTGGCACAACACGGTTACCCAAGAAGATAAAGACATGCCAGATGTATTTGTAGAACATTTAGTTGATTTGTTTAACATGTGTGAGTGTGAATCTAATACATGTTTGATCAGTTTGTGGTTCAGTTTGTGCTGCTTTTTGCATTTAGACACTTGAGGATTTCACAGGCTGAGCAGGGACAGGGACGTTTCTGATTTCTACAGTGTTTAGGAGTAAGCCAATAGGTTTGGTAGAGCTCCTTGCTAAGTAAATTGGGCACAAGGTTGCAACCTCAAGTAAATTGGGGGATCCCTTTTTGATCCTAAATTCACTTTTCTTTAGGGATTACAGGAAAAAAAATGCCCTGGCAAGGGAGGATGAATGATGCAAAAAAATAAAAATTAAAGATCTGGAATCAGATTTAATACAGTTGGAAACAAGGCTGAGAATCAGCATAGAGACAAATCTTTACTATTTAATAATTAAAGGTGCAAGGAGATTGAGAAGTCACCCCTCCAGGATAGAGGCTGTCTGGTAACAGGGCAAGCAAAGAAGCATCCCTGGTTTTTTTTTTTTAAAAAAAAAAGCAAAGAAGCATCCCTGTTTTGTTTTTTTAAAAAAGCGGATTAGCTCATCTTTGTTAGGCTGTGAATTACTTTTTTCTTTGTTTTAACATCTTTAGTGAAATTAAATTAACAAGTCAGAGAACCTTAATTGCAGCATAAGTCTAAATATGGCTGGGACTGGTTGCCTGAGTTTTACCCCTAGGAATCTTGGCCTCTTAACAAGACTTCTGGGCCTCTAGAGCTGGTTGCCGAGTGCCAGGATAGGAAGAATAAGACTACTCTGAGGGGTAAAATAAACCAAATTTATTTGGGGGGGAGGAGAGGAAAGAGACCTTTCCTATCCAAAGAAAATAGAAAATAATGTAAAGTTCTTTCAGACTTTCTCTAGGTTGACATGCAATTGGGGACAATCTGGGGCTTCTCGGCAACGATGACTTCCAACATCACTCATTCATAGCAACCTTAAACCTGCCTCCTCCCACCGCCCTATAGTTAATCTGTTAGAAGCACTTTTCCCTCTTGCCTCTCATTTCCAGTTTTGCTTTGATTGATTTTCCCCCCGTTTTTTTTTTTAAAGGAAAGAAGCTGTATAATTCCCAGTGGCCCAGCATTGAGATGTTATGCTAGTTGCGGTTTTAACACTTAGTTTCAACTAATTCAGTAATCAGTGATTGGTAACCTGCAGTAGCCTTGAAGATATGTACAATCCAACAGGTTGGGTTTCATAGTGCATGCCTTATTTTTTAAAAGAAATCCTCTGAATGCCGGTAAACTATCACTACAGTATTAATATTAGTAATCACACACACACACACACAAACAGAGGAATCCTTATATAGCTCCATGTCAGATATCCTGGCTAATGAGTTAATTAACTTTTTGATTGCTAAAAGGATGTTTGGTGTTTCATGCAGCAATAAGTGGGCAAAAGGGATGGTTGTTAATTTAGATGCATAATTTTGTAAATTCGTGGTACATTAAGAACTGATAGCATTTCTTTTAAAAACAAAACAACTTGGAAGTTGTGATTATATTTTTGGAGGGAGACCAAGTATCTGTAGAATCAATGGCAAAGTTATTGAACTTCTTGAACGCAATGGTACTTAAATTCTGATTAATCAATATATGGTTAGATTGCAAGCCAAATATTTCAGGATAATATACGTACGTTTCTGAATAGCTGCCAGAGATTGAGGGTCACATATTGGGATCCCAGGATCCTGCATTCTCTAGCGGTATCTGCTCTCTGGAATGAAATGCTCGGGATCTCATTGTCTGGAATAAATTTAAAGGACTTCCATTCTGCTAGGATTTTAAAGGACCTTAAAGATCTGGCTGTTTGCCTAGATGTTTAGAAAGGACAATTGATGCCTCCTTTTTGCTTTCAGTTCTAATGAGTTTTATTTTCTTTGCTATCTTTGTGTTTCACATATTTTTTTATATGCTGTGTTTTTTAAATGTTTTAACAATTGTAAACCACTTGGAGTCAGGTAGCATCTACATTTAATAAATTAGTGAACTGCCTAGAGATAGGTGATCAGTATGACTTGTAAATCAATAAATCAAACAAACAATGCTGCAAATTGTTTCCCCCCATTTATTACAGAGTATGGTTTGTTATATGTTTGTGTATGAGGTATGAGAATTTTTTTTCACTTGACTGGCCCCAAAATATATTAGGTGAAAATAAAACTTGATGTTAATTGGTTTGCAATTTGTGGCATTTAAGCTTAAAACAGCAGGTTCATGAGTCTAATTAACTGATCTCTGCCACATTTGATTACAAATCCCCATCCCAAGCAGTATGAGGGAGCTGTCTTTATTTAAACTGTTTAATCCAAAGCAAATGCACTTATTTTAAGAAGAAAATACAGGAATTAGTTGAAAGTGTGAGGTCATATAGTTCTGCAGTCCAATCTCATGAACTGCAGAGGGCTTGTTTTGGAGGCTACTTCCAGTTGGAGTCCTTGGAGGTTGCAGCTAAATAAATGCTTGGGTAGTAATTTTCCTGAGAAAGAGAAAGAAAAGAAAAGAAGAGAAGAGAAAGAAAGAAAAAGAAAGACCAATGGGGCTTAATTTCCCAATGTCACCCATCAAACAGTGCATGGCAGCAGTTTGCAGGTCTTCCTCCAGTTTGAGAATTTCACTAATTGGGTTGCATGTGGTTTCTTCTCAGGACCGGCACGATGGAAGCAGCAACGGGAATCCCAGGTTGCCTCACCTCTCCGCTGTCAGCCAGCACCTCTACAGCCCAGCTCCCCCTCTTTCCCACTCAGGGACCTCCGATTTCCAGCCACCTTACTTCCCTCCCCCCTACCAGCCTTTGCCTTACTCCCAGTCCAGTGATCCTTACTCACACCTCGGGGATCCTTTTTCTATCAATCCACTTCATCAGCCGCCACCACCTCCCCCCAGCCAGCAGCAAACCAGCTGGCCCAGCCGTCAGAGCAACCAAGACCATTCCGGTTTATCCCACCATGCCCGATCAGGCTTGATGCCTCATCTCCCAGCTCTGGAAAGCGGCTCCCTGGGGACAAGAAGGGACACCTACAGGCGATCTGAGCTGCTCCTGCCCCACGGCCATGGGCTCGATGCTTCCAGCCTGGCAGAGAACTTAGGACTGCATGACATGGCCCACCAGATGGAAGAGGTTCAGGTAACAATTCTGGGGTCAAAATAAAATTGCCATGAATGGGAAGGATGGTACAGCAGCATTTGTTAATCTGTGGTCTTTGGTGCTCCCTTAGCTTGGTTGTTTACTTGCAGACATTTCATTGCCCAAATTAGGTAACATCATCAGTGCTGCCAATGTTACTTATTCTGGGTCACAGGTCAGCAACCTGCGGCTCCGGAGCCGCATGAAGCTCTTTGAGCCTTCTGCTGCGGCTCCCAGCCTCCTCTGCCATTTGCAGAGAGAGAGAGAGGCACTTGCGCTCCCCCCCCCTCTCTCTCTGTGTGTGTGTGTGTGTAAAAAAGAGAGTGGACTCACGCTGTTCTCCGATCAGCTGAAAAGCTTATTGGGCAGGCTCCTTCCTTTGCAGGAGAGAGCTAGCTAGCCCAGCTATGCTGACTCAGGAATTCTGGGAGTTGAAGTCCATGAGTCATAAAAGAGCTGAGGTTGCCTTACCCCTGAGCTAGCCCAATAAGAATGTGTGTCAGCTTGTTGGAGAACAGCTTGAAGTCAGCTTGCCAGGTGAGCAGAAGATTGGAGAGAGGGAGGGGGGGAGAGAAAAAGAGAGAGAAAGAGAGAGGGGGGAGGAAAGATAGAGAGGAGAGAGAGAGAGAAAGTGAGAGAGAGAGGAGGGAGAGGAAAGAGAAAGAGAGAGGGAGAGGAAAGAAAGAAAGAGGGAGTAGAAAGAGAGAGAAAGAGAGAGAGGGAGGGAGGGAGAGAGAGACAGACCCTTTTGACATCTAAAATAAAAATAACACTGTATATATCCTTTTTTACCTTTATGATATATTCAGTGTTATCTTCATTTTAGATGTCAAAAGGGTTTTGCGCTCTCAGTGTTTTGTTTTCAGTGGGAAACAGGTCCAAGTGGCTCTTTGAGTGTTTTGGGTTGCCTATCCCTGGTCTGGGTAATGAAACATCTGCAAGAAAAATGACCAAACTCAGAGAGCACCAAGGACCTCTTATTTCAACCCTGAGCTACAAATATTCTTTATTAACTTTTGCTAATAGCTTGGTCAAACTTGAGCTATCTTACTAAAGAAACCTTTACAGGTAGTCCTCGAATTACAATTATTTGTTTAGTGACTATTTGAAGTTAACAATTGCACGGAAAAAAATGTCCATTTTCCCCACTTACGACATTTGCCGCATCCCCGTGGTCACGTGATCAAAGATGCTTTGATGCTTTCAGATGCTTGGCTACTGGTTCATGTTTATGACGGTCGCAGTGTCCCCGGGTCATGTGATTGCCTTTTGCGACCTTCTGACAAGCAAAGTCAATGGGGAAGCCCGATTCGCTTAACAACCATGTTAACTAATTTAACAACTGCAGCGATTCACTTAACAACTGTGGCAAGAAAGTTTGTAAAAGTGGATCAAAACTCACTTAGCAACAGAAATTTTTAGGCCAATTGTATAGTTGTAAGTCGAGGACTAGTTGTATTGGGAGAGGTTGAAATTCCCAGTTCTGGATAAACTTGCATTCAACAAGAGATCCCTTGAGTCCCTCTGAATCCTGCCCAGAATTGAGCATTATACCCTTAATTTTGAGAAAATAGGTATTGGTGTTTTTTACTTAATTGTTTAGCACTTGATTATATCATTTGTGTTCACGTTCATCCACTAATTTTGCCTTCATGGTGATGGATCTAGATCAGGAGTAGGCAACCTGGGCTCTTTTATGACTCTTGGACTTCAACTCCCAGAATTCCTGAGCCAGCTGGCTCAGGAATTCTGGGAGTTGAAGTCCACAAGTCATAAAAGAGCCCAGGTTGCCTACCCCTGATCTAGAGTGAACAGATTAAAACATGAAGATGTATACAGTCACTGCAGTAACATTAAATCTAAAATAAAGGGTGGGGGTTGGGAAGCACAAAGGATCCACTCTGAGAATTTTATGCTCATAAAATTGCAAGGAAGTGGAAAGGGTTGCAAGCATTTTCTGTTCACTGAGAAAATGCTGGTAGAATGGATGGTTTTGTTCAGCCACGTATGCTTATTTTCTTTATATATGAAAATCTGTATGAGAAGCCAGGTATGGGTGAATCAAGTTTTAAACTGATCATTACTTCACCCTGAAGTGTGTATTACTCGGGCATGAAAGAGGCATTTCACAAACACAGAGGTGTGAGAATCTGTCTTTCCTCCATTGCTTCATAACCTGTGCAATCCTATTATTGAACACTCCTACAGCAATGACATGGCTACCTTGCTGCCTGTGCTTCGTCATTCCAAGGAACAGAGCTTGATGTGCTAACATTGCTTTCTCCAACTTGATGTTCTCCAGCTGTTCTTAATCAGTTCCCGGCCAACAATGGCCAATAGCATTCCATATTTGCAAGCCATCAGGTTGGGGAAGGCAATAGCAAAGAGCATTTTATTTTTATTTTTTTCCCATTTGCATCCTGCCTTCTTGGTCAACCAAACAGCTAAAGTGGTTCATTTCATTTGTACAGAAATCCTCCATGCCGGAAGGGAAGTTAGCTAAGTGAGTCCATTTATTCAGATTTGGCTCCAAAATAAAACTGCCTCACTGATTTGCAGATTTTAACCAGAGGGATAGAAGACCTGCATTGTTAACAAGGTGTTGTTTTGCTCAGTCTCAAAGAGTGACATTCCAATAGTCTTGTAGTAGTTTTGTAGCTTGCTCCCAAAATTGTTGGTCTTTCATTTCATGGTTAGGTCACATTTTTTTATGTCCCTGTGAGTCAGATTTTGACTCCTGATGACTGCATTGAGAGGTCTCTTGCAGTTTTCATGACAAGGATTTTCACCAGTGGTTTGCCACTGTCTTTTCCCCAAGACTTGAGAGGGAATGAGTGGCTCAAGGTCACCCAGCTGGTTTTGTGCCTAAGGCAGGGGTTCTCAGGCTGGCTGAGGAATTCTGGGAGTTGAAGTCCACAAGTCTTAAAGTTGCCAAGGTTGAGAACCCCTGGCCTAAGGCAACATTGGAACTCCTGTTCTCCCAATTTTTAATTGGATGTCTTAACCTCTACATCAAGCTAGCTCAGGTCATCTAGGATAATTCTCTGAAAATAATTACAGGTAGTCCTCAATTTACAACAGTTCATTTAGTGAACGTTTGAAGTTACAATGACACTGAAAAAAGTGACTTCTGACTGTTTTTCACAGGACCGTTGTGGCATCCCAGTGGTCATGTGATCAAAATTCAGAGGCTTGTCAACTGACTCATACTTATGATGGTTGCAGTGTCCTGGGGACACGTGATCACTCTTTGTGACCTTTTGACAAGCAAAGTCAATGGGGAAAGCCAGATTCACTTAACAACCATGTCACTAACTTAACAACTGCAGTGATTCACTTAACAAATGTGGCAAGAAAGGTCATGAAGTGGGGCAAAGTTCACTCAACAAATGTCTCGCTTAGCAACAGAAATTTTGGGGTTCAGTTGTGGCTGTAAAACGAGAACTACCTGTAGACCAGAGATAAAAAAGCTCAACTGTTCAGATGTTGGTGTAATTCACCCACAGTGCTCATCCTCCTGATTAATTTTGCCATTAGGTATGTGATCCCTTCCCTTGTCATTTGTAAATCAGTTTGTGTTGGGGATATATTCACACATCACACCTGGTTTCAAGCAGGCCAGCCATATGCTAGCTTAACACGATGATACGAACCACTTTTTCCTGAACTATTTTGAGGTCAGCTTAAATGTTCTGAGTTATGATCATTGCCCTTTGGAAATGGAGAACTACAGATTCTGTGTTTGTGCACACCAGCACCCTAAATGCCTCAGTCATGAATGAACTTCCTCACTTGTTTACCTGGGGATTTAAGTAGATCCATGAATGCAGTCACAACTTTTGAAATCAGTAGATCATAATTCTAAATATGCACAAGAATGTACATAGCATGTTTACTGAAAAGGAAAGCCGCTGGCTTGCTTCCTTGAATAATAAGCTGACAGGCACTGGAACTTTGTATGATTGTACATCCCATTGATCTCAGTACGATTTCAAGCAGGTTAATTTTTGTTGGTTGGGTTGGCCTGTTTTAGATGTCCATTAAAATTTTTTGCTGTAAAGTTTTGTGTCTTTTACTAAAAACAATTAGGGGAATATGTTAATGAAATATGTTTGTATATTGGGTGGGGAAGCGGGCACAAATTGTATTCCACAACTGTATTCTTAAAAAAAAAATTCACATTCTCTCTCCAGAATGTGGAAGATCAGCACTTATTAATGCATGACCAGACAGTCATTAGAAAAGGTCAGTAAGTTTACATTCTGCTGGTTTGTTTTCTTTTGTCTTTTATAGGATGGTATTTTCACTCATAAACTTTTTAGGAGTTTCAGATTTGCCTTTATGTTCCTTTTTGAAAAGAGACTTTGTTTAAAACAACAACAAACAACTAAAGTATAAAAAAGTAAGATTCTCTCCCCCCTTCCCCCAGCCACCAAGTTTTTTATATGAGCTGTCATATATACCCACAGATATATATACATATATTTCTGAAAAGATGAACATGAATATTTATTTATAAACAAATATTTTACAAATCTACATTTTAAAAAAGTATCTACACCCTAGATCTTGGCTTAATACAATGGATTTAAAATGGGTTAAGTTTCCTTCTGAAGACCTTGTAGTAATTCCTTGGATGTTATGTTCTCGGTTACAATATATAATGTATAATTTTGGAGAATGAGTTCTGTTTGTTAAAATTTGCTGTTTTGTTATTATCCATTCATTGGTAGTTATAGATGTCTTAGAAGGAAAAAAAATCCTTCATCTAAGAGGTTGGAGGAAAAATGAAAACTCTCAAGAATAATAGAAATATTTTTTTGAGGATAGTGAACTCTCTCTTTTGCATTGTTATTACCGTAAATGCCGGCGTATAAGGTGACATCCGCGAGTGCTGAAATCGGCGCCAAAGACGGGGGTCGTCTTATATGCTGGAAATACTGGTAGTTTCCGGCGTATAAGACGACGTTCTAGGAATGCGGCCCGGCGATAAAGATGGGGGTCGTCTTATACGCCGGGTTGCCTTGTACGCCGGCATATATGGTACTTGTGTTTAACGTGGGCAAATCAATGAAGAAATGTTCCTGCTGCAACTAAACACTTTGGCCTTAGCTTCAACATTTATTTTTAGTGGGTTTCTGTTCGATATATATATGTATATAAAATAGAGCATACCCTTTTCTTTTAAAAAGAGAGGTCTCTGTTTGGTTAGATACGTGGTAGCCTTCCCTAAAGGGGCCCTCTGTGCCACAGCAGCCATTATACGTGAACAGCTCTAATTTAATATGAATTTATGGGGCTGTTGTGTATCCACATCACAAGCTTCTACTGGTGATATTTATAAGGTTGAGGTGCAGATCCATGGTGGAGAAACTGCACAGACCTTTCCCCCTTTTTTTGTTGCATAATTCACAAACCCCTAAAGTTTTTAGAATAAATATATAAATCAAAGGATGATTTTGTCTGTAACTTAAAACTGACAGGAGGGAAAATGTATCTGAGAAGAACCAGAAATGTTTTGTTGTCAACTCATAGCTGATTTGAGAATTAGCTCATAGTATAACAATTTTTCTGCTGTCTGTTTCACCTGCTTTTCAGAAATCTTCCTCCTTTGATAAATAAAGTGCCTGGCTTAGCGCTTTAACCCTTTCTTCTCCTGCCCACTCCAACTCAAAATATTTCTGGAGAAGAGCTCAGGTTTCAGTTTTTGTCAGAATGTAACTGCCAGTTGAGCATACTTTTAACACAATCTGCTGATGTGTGTTTTCTGTGTTTTAATTTTCATAAAGTCAAGATGTCACTCCAGGAATTAAAGTCAGGGGGAAAAAGCATTCATTTCTTAAATGGAATGAACTCAAGAACATTTTATTATTATTACCAAATTTATTTGCTGCCCATATTGCAGTTCTGCAGTATGCAGTAATATGACAGCAATTTTGTCATAGAATTGTTAGCTTAGAAAAAGTTACAATCTTGTCTACATTTTATCCATGGCCTATGGATTTCAGGGCAAAAAGAGGACCTTATTTAAAATTCTTCTTGGCTGGATTGTAGACTATTGTTCTTAATTGCTAGAACGATAGATTATATCAGCATAATTGGGAAGGCACTTAAGCAATGGACTCCTAACAGTTTGTTAAATAATAAAAGAACAATCTTTTTATATAACTGCCTCAGGTGTCTTCAAGTAATAAGTGGATCCTTGTCTGCCCTTTTCACGTAAGGCCAGGAATGCTCTTGAATTGTTTAGAAAAAAAAATTGGATTCATTATGGAAGGCCACCTTCAATCTGGTGTCTGTAAGTCTTCAGATACCATAATCCCTAGCTATCAGACATAGAATGACTGGGGATTATGGTAAATAAAGTCCAGCACACCAGGACATTGGGTTGTGGGAGAGGTATTACCTCAGGTATCTGTATGTTAAACGTTTAGACTTTCCAGAAAACAAAAAAGACAGGAGAAACACTCCATGGTAGTTTGTTTGTTTTTGTGTATTTTGGCTCTCCAGGTCCCATTTCACTAACGAAAAACAATGCATTAGGTCTCCCTTGCCAGAAAGATGGACTTCTGGGTGTAGTGATCAATCCCAACGAAGTGTTCTGCTCCGTTCCCGGACGGCTTTCTCTCCTCAGTTCAACATCGAAATACAAAGTGACGGTGGCTGAGGTTCAGCGAAGATTATCTCCTCCTGAATGTCTGAATGCATCTCTGCTGGGAGGAGTCCTCCGAAGGTAAGCACATCATTCCTTGGCCATCTCTCCCCTCCCACCCCTCCTGGGTCAAATCATGTCCTGTCAAGGGGGCTTCCTTGTGTCCTGCGGAACTGAATGGCCTGTGGAACAGAATAGCTTCTTGTCTCTTCTGGTTGTGAATCTTGCAAACAGGAGATAAAACACTGCATCCTAATAGAGTTTATTTTGAAGCCTCTTGCCTTCACACTCTTCCCCCCCCCTCCTTGGCACCCTTTTGCCTTTCCAGAATTGAAAAGTGCCATAACAGGATTTTATTGTGCATTCTCTATTCCTGTTAACAGACTCTCTCTATCCCACCCCAACATTGCAAAAAAGAAATAATTGAACAGGAAGTCAGGTCTTGTACTAGTTTACCCACTGCAGTCTAATGTTAAAAAGGTATGAAGAGAAATACATGGATTATTTTAGAACACCATTTCCAAATTGTATTAAGACGTTGATTGAGAAAAACATAGCCAAGTCTGATTTATTCCAGGGTGTTTTGAGGTTCATAAATGGACAGGTGAAGCTCATTGTCATCATCCCAGAGGATGTTTATTGTCTGTTCGAACCTTGATGGGACTGCCAAAAGTAGAATTGCTGAGGCTCACATTCAGAAGCTACCACCTGTAATTTTGAAGGACAAAGAAAAGTTGTTCTTCACTTAAGTTTAAATCGTGGGGATTCCTTGGCTGTGCCCATGTTATTTTTTTCTGCAACAGTGTGGAAGCAATTGGCCACCACTTGTAGGAGAAGAACAGGCAGAGCTGGGGGGTGGAATTAAACACATCATCAGTTTAGAGTCATTGTGTTGCCACAAGAGATCCAAGTACAGCCCCACTTGAATTCCATTGACCCTTATATAGTGTCAATTGAATGTTGAGCTCTAGTTGATTGGATTCTTGTGTATAGGCTTGAATAAATATTGTATGCTGCAATCTTGCAAATAGTTCCAATTTTATAATTCTATCTAGTTTACAGCACTGAGATAATGCTAGTGGTATTCCATCCAAACACTGAGCATAACTAATACTTTTTAGCTTTAGAGGGATCAATAGAAATTGAGTATGTAATCAGCTACTTATTCCCCACCCAAGTAATCACAGGGATATGCTGCCAACATATCTGGGGGAAGTGATCCCAAGAAGAGGTGAGATTCCAAGCACACCTACTTTAAAGTGGGGGTGCCCAGGGCTTCAAGGCAATGCCCCAAATTTTTGACATAGGAAGATAGGGAAAGTCTACAGTACCTCCTTTAATGGTATTTAATGCAGATTAATAGAATGTACTTTTTTTGTCTTGAGTGCAATGTCACTCAGAACCCAGTGTTTAGTCTTGAGTTGAAAGCCATGTGCTTTATATTAATTTAGGGTTGCTTTTTAATAGGCCTTATCCAAATGAAGAAACACATCACCACAAGAGAAGAATACAAATTGACCTAGTAGTTGTATCTCCTAACTAATAACTGTATAGGGAAACAAATGTGGGAATTACCATAACATGAATACAATCCATCTCACCATAATGAGGAAGAATGTCCGAGATTTCTTTTTTTTTTAATTTTTTTTTATTTTCCATTTATCCAACATAATTATACAACAAAATTCACTTTATAAAATAAAATAAATTCATAATCATAACCATAACCACAACCATAGATGCCGCTTGCTCATTCCCCCCAAGCTGCATCCACCCTCTCTAATACCTTCCCTACTTCCCTCCTCTTTCTCTCCTCCCCTCACTACTCTCCCCTCCCCTTCTCCTCTTACTATCCTACTTCCTCCCTTCACCTTCCTCCCCTCTCATCCCTCTCAGATACAGGAATGCAGTGTAGAGGAAATGCCCAAATGTCTGAGATTTCAATCTGTTACCTGAGTCTTCAGCTTTTGATAGGCAATTTCGTCTTTCTTTCTTTCTTTCTTTCTTTCTTTCTTTCTTTCTTTCTTTCTTTCTTTCTTTCTGGTTGAAACTGAATTCAGATTGTGTGATGCTTCATCAAGATTATGAACTATGAACTACCAGTTCTTGAACTCAAAGCTTGTTCTGCGTGTAGAAGGATTCATATCCACCTACCTTTTTAAATAACGTTCACATTAAACAGTTCTGTTCAACAATTCGCCAGAATCGTTTACTGTGCTTTAAAACACAACCTCGCAACTTTAAGGTGGGTGGACTTCCAACTCCCAGAATTCTAGCCAGCATGCTTAAGTTACTGAGATTGAGAAACACCGCTTTAAAGAATTGCTAATATACAGTCTAATTTTCAGGAATTGGGGAATGTGCCCAATTCTCCCCATCCTTCTCAAATGCCATTTATAGTAGTGGAAGTACAGTGGACTTTACATCCTAGATTAAAAAAAAAAAATCAAGGCTGCATTTAATATCCATGTACGGATACTGCCACAACAAAGTTTGTTTGATGCTCTTTGTGTTTGTAAAAGGTTTTAATTTTCGTTATGTCGGTCATCATGATTGTAATGATGCTTGATAGTGTAAACGCAGAGGCAAAGCGTATCCTTCTCTTCCTCCCCCTTCCCTTTTCATCTTGCTTTCTGATGTTCATGTGATGGAACATTCAAAAGTAGGTCAGCTCTTGTCACAGTCCTCTCTTTCCTCCCCCCATCGGCAGAAGTGTATTGAATGTCAGCAACTTGCATTTCCCAATTGCTTCAAAATGTGACCTCTTCAACATGCATCTAAACATCGCCCATCCCTCTCTCTCATCCGCAGAGCCAAATCCAAAAATGGGGGCCGCTCACTAAGGGAGAAGCTGGACAAAATTGGCTTGAACCTTCCTGCAGGCAGAAGGAAAGCTGCAAATGTGACATTACTTACATCATTGGTGGAAGGTCAGTTGGTCTTCTCTCCTAAAGCTTTTTCTGGGTTAAAGGGCAAAGCGAGCAATTTGTGTTTGCCAATCAAGTTGTCTTCTGAAAGGATAAGTCTTCAGAAATACGGGCAGGACTCAGAATAATGGTGTTGGAGGAGACAAAAATGTCCTTGTGGTAAGAGCTGTTCAGCTTTGGATCCATGAGAGGCAATGGGCTTCTTATTAAAATAGAGTTTGGACAGATTGGAGATGTTTCAGTTTAAAGTTCTGCCTGAATACAAGTAGCCTTGACTTATGATCACAACTGAGCTCACTTAGAGTTGTTAAGTGAGTTTTGCCCTATTTTATGACCTTTCTTACCACAGTTGTTAAGTGGATCACTGCAGTTAAGTTTGTAACATGGTGTTATGTCTATCTGGCTTCTCTATGGACTTTGTTTGTCAGAACATCACAAAAGGTGATCAAGTGACCCCTGTGATGCTGCAGACATCATAAATATGATGCCAAGTATCTGGATTTTGATCATGTGACCATGGGGGAATGCTGTGAGAAATGGCCAATGCTATTGTAACTTCGAACACTAAACAAACAGTTGTAAGTCGAGGACTACCTGTAAGAGGTTGGACTTGAATGTCTAAATGGCACTTTCCAATTCTGCACTCTGGTGGCCTCTTTTTTATTATTCCCAAATGCTTTTTGTAGCTAGATCATGTTTTCACTGCAGAGCTGTAGGTAAAGATATTAATGCTCAAAACTAGAAGTGGGGAGTGAGGAATGAAGGATATGTTGGGGCATAACCTTGGAGGATAAACATCCTTGTTATGGATGGTATGTTTGTGTAAAAAAGTTTTGGATTAGAAGTTTTCATAGACACTGTAAAATTGGCATTTAATTTACTGCCAAGGCAGTAAAAATTGACAATTTTTTAAAGTGCATAATGTAGATTGTGGTGAAATTTGTTCATTGAAGTCTCAGAGATGTCCCACTTTAGATGTGATCAGAAGCTTTGAATATCTCTCTTCTCCTTCCCATTAACATTGCCAGTTTTTTTTTTTTATCTTTCCCATGTTTGTCAGTCTGACTCCAGTTAAACAACTATTGTTTGTTTCATTATGGGTAGATGAGGATAGATATTTTCTGCAGAAATGGCTGATTCAGAGAATCAGCTTGTCTTTCTCATCCATTGCATGAATCTAAGAACATTTCCATTCTTTGATTACTGTTTCTTGGGATACTTTCATGTGTGCTAACAAGCAGCTAAGAATTCATTGTCTGATTTCTTAAAGAATTCCTTATAAAGCTGCACTGAGTAAAACAGCTAAAAACAACCTATAAAAAGCTGAGAAGAAAGATTGGCAAGGTCTGATAAGGGTTCAAAGCAACAGTAAATAGAGAAGAACTTAAACCAGAGATTTTGGGATTGCTAAATCAGAAAGATAAATTGCAACAATGCAAGTTTGTCAGTGGAATTCTAAAACCACCTTTTAAAACAAAAACTAACATTTTATGTATTCTAAACAAACTATAAACATATGAGCTAGAGATATATGAATATTGTAAGCCGCCCAGAACCTTTTTGGAATCGGGCAACCTTAAAATCCATTAAATTAGGTTAAATTAAATTAGAAATATTTATTGTGCAGTGAGCTCATTGTACAAAGGATTAGGACTGATAATGTCTCCCTTCATATACCAAATCTGCAGCATGGCATGTTTGCTATGTTTAATATGAACTGGACTGTCTGGTGTTTTTCTGCTTTTTGTTTTTTTAAACTCTGCAGTACTCAGAACTCCCATACAATGCCCTAAAACAGGGGTCTTCAAACTTGGCAACTTTAAGACTTGTGGACTTCAACTTCCAGAATTCCTCAGCCAGCCCTAGCTAAATATTAAATTTGCCAAGTTTGACGACCCCTGCCCTAAAACAGTGAACTATAAATGGTCATATGAATACAAGTAATAGAGCCAGTGTTCACTTAACAAATTAACATTAATATATTAATAAGAACAGTTTCAATCGAGGAGGACATACTTCTACCACCAGTAACTTTCAGAGTGAAATCAAATCTCTGAATCAAGCTTCACTCCTCACGACGTCATGCATACAACCACACAGTTTTCTTGTCAATAGCAGATAAGTGGTTTGCTATTGCTTTCTGGGAATCTAGGATCTAGCCTAGAACTTAGGTCTTCCCAGAAGTGTCCCCTCCAAATATTAACCAACCGGAATCTTGCTTAGCTTGACCACAGAATACAGTCATTCCAGAAATCACTGTTTTCAGAACTCCACTGATGAAGAAGGTTTGTTCTCTGCTCTGGCAGAAGGTAGAGGAAAAACCAGAAGGAGAGGGAGCAGATTTCGGCTAAAACTCTTAGGAGAAACCCTCAAACTGTAGGATCAATTGGCAGCAAAAAAGAGCAGTGTCTTCCTTGGCTTAAGGTACTTCTGGCTGGTTGGTTGTTAGGGATATTTGTGCAGCAAGTGAGTTGAATGACGTCTAAGATCCCTTCTAATGTTGTTTTATTTTGATGGGTGATGGAAGATAAGAGAGATGCTGTAACCAAAAACAAAAGTAGAGGATCTTTAAATACAAAGAATATTTAATGATAGTTATGTCTGTTTAAAAACAGAATGTATTTTCTAAGCTTGTTAAGCTGAGTAGCAAAATATAATGAGTTTCGTGTTTCAAACCTTTTGGCTCTCAACCTTTCCTGTAATTCCTGTATGATAGTTGGGAGACTTGGAATGAAAGGTTAAATTAGCACAAGGCCCACTTCTGTTGAAAATAAGCATATAATTGGATGTGAAATTTGTCATACATATGTCAATAGGCAACCTTTGCTACTGCAGTCAAAATGACAAATTCACATGGGTAAATCAGTTATTATTTCCAAGGAAGAACATGCATGTTTACAGGCAGAGTAGTTGCATCCCACAAGTTTTTGCTGAACTGCTTTATCAAATGGGCTGTCGGGATGAAATATAGATCATATATTTCCTGAGTATATTGATGGGAATGTCCTCAAATTTTGGATGAGTGTGTTTTGACTTAATACTGCCGACATTGTAAGAGGTGACAGGCAGGAGCAGTCACTGGAAATTCATTTGCTGCTTTGCTTATAAATATCCTAGCTGCTTGGAACTTGTGCTAATTCATGCTAATTATTGCCAGGAAAATATTTTTGCAGTTGTTTCACATTTTGCAAAAACAGACTGGAGCAGATGACATTATAGGATGAGAAATATTTGTATGGTGGGACTCAAATGTGACCTACTTTAAGTTAGACTATTATCTTGTAAAGGTCCTGACCCTTACTTATAATGAAAATATAATATTGCCTATTGTTTTAAATCCTCCTTCTCCTATCTGGTCTCTTCCAGATGTGTGGGGTTTTAATTTTCCTAATGCCCAAATAACAAAGTCATCAGTTACTGACTGGCTGTCCTATGTGCAACAATGTCAGAAAAGTATTATTCTGGGGAAGGTAGTTTCTTTGCAACTATTGCATATTCAGAGAAAAGCTTAAAATCATAATGTTACTCATCAAATAGAGGAGCTTTCTTAGGTAGCCCCCGCCTTTTAAAAAACTTAACTCAATGGTGCTTTTATAAATTATAAGGTGGGAAGAAAAATAATCTTGTTAAACATATGGGCTGGTTCTGACAGTGGCAAATTTTGTTCATCTGTTTGTCTGCAAACAGTTATTTAAGTGGGTATGATCTAATAAGCAAATTCTTGCTTTTTTCCTTCTTTTTCCTCTTCTATGGTCCACTTGCAGGGGAAGCAGTCCATCTTGCCCGGGATTTTGGCTATGTGTGTGAAACTGAATTCCCCTCAAAAGCTGTGGCTGAATATTTAACTCGGCCCCATCTGGGCCGGAATGAGATGGCCAGCAGGAAAAATATGCTCCTTGCCGCAAAGTAAGTATCTTTATTTGAGTGGAAAGCAATATGTAAGATGTATAGAATATATTAAAGTGCTTAGAAGGCTCAAGCAGGACAGGGAGTCCTCAACCTACCACCACAACTGAGTTGTAAAATTTTCCATTGCTAAAAAGTCAGTTGTTAAGTAAGTCATGCCCAATTTTACCATTTTTTTCGCCACGGTCTTTAAGTGAATCATTGCAGTTGTTAAGTGAATCGTGCAGTTGCACTTTGACTTTGCTTGTCAGAAGCCAGCTGGGAAGGTCACAAATGGTGATTACGTGACTCCAGAATACTGCCACCAGCATAAATACATGCTGCTTGTAAGCTCTCAAATTTTGATCACATGACTGTGGGGATGCTGCAATGGTCCTAGGTGCTGGTTATAAGTTACTTTGTTCACTGTAGTTGTAACTTCAAATGGTCACTAAAGGAATGGTTGCCTCCACCAACAGGAGCAGGCAAAAGATGAGCCTTAATTAGTTCCTGTGGAAATGGTGTCAAGAGTGAGGAACGATAGAGGCTGGATTGGAGCTTATTGTGAATGTGGGCAAAGACTGGATTTTTAATTACAAGAAGGTTGCATTCTCCTTTTTAAAGCCACATTAAGTTGTTTTTTAAGCTTACAATACAGTTTATATGGGTTTCTAACCTTCAATGGTAGGAAACCAAAATTGGTTGGAGTGAGGTTGAAGAGTCTGTTCCACAAAACTTCATGAAAGCAGGTTAAAAAGATAAATAATAATAATTTTGTTGTTAGTTGCAAAGTCGTGTTCGACTCATTGCGACCCTATGGACAACGTTCCTCCAGGCCTTCCTGCATTTTACCATCTTCTGGAGTCCATTTAAGCTCACACCTACTGCTTCAGTGACTCCATCCAGCCATCTCATTCTCTGTCGTTCCATTCTTCTATTGCCCTCAATCTTTCCCAGCGTTAGGCTCTTCTCTAGTGAGTCCTTCCTTCTCATTAGGTGGCCAAAGTACTTGAGTTTCACCTTCAGGATCTGGCCTTCTAAAGAGCAGTCAGGGTTGATCTCTTCTAGGACTGACCAGTTTGATCGCCTTGCAGTCCAGGAGACTTGCTGGAGTCTTCTCCAGCACCATAGTTCAAAGGCCTCAATTCTTTGGCGCTCAGCCTTTCTTATGGTCCAACTTTCACAGCCATATATTGCAACTGGGAAAACTATGGCCTTGACTTTTGTTGTAAGGATGTCTCTGCTTTTTAGTATTTGCTGTCTAGATTTGCCATAGCTTTCCTCCCCAGGAGCAAGAGTCTTTTAATTTCTTGGCTACAGTCCCCATCTATGGTGATCTTGGAGCCCAGGAAGATAAAATCTGTCACTACCTCCATTTCTTGTAATAATAATAATATAGAGTTGGAAGGGACCTTGGAGGTCTTCTAGTCTAGATGCAGATTCTTTTCTTGCCTTACAAAGATGCATCTTGTAGAGTTTAGTGAAGAGAATCAGGATTTAAATCAGATACTAGCATTATAAATTAGGATCTTAAGAGCCATGGTGATGCACTAGGTAGAATACAGTATTGCAATTTTGCAGTCTTAACTCTGCCCATGCCAGGAGTTCGATGCTGACCAACTCAAGGTTGACTCAGCCTTACATCCTTCTGAGGTTGATAAAAAGAGGATCCAGATTGTTGGGGGTAATATCCCGACTCTGTAAACCACTTGGAGAGTCCTATAAAGCACCTTAAAGCAGTATATAATTCTTAAGTGCTATTGTTATCTTATACAAGAACATTCTTATTTGTTTGTATTTAATGACTTCCTGTTTATCGCCTGGACTAAAAATCAAGGACTACCTCTGTATGGCATAGGGATCTTATTTTCAATGGGTTTGTGTGGCTATAGAAAAGTTGCCCTTTTAAAATAGTGCTTAAGGGCAGGAACACCTTTAATTTTAATAATGCTTGCAGGCCTCTTCAAAAATGAATATTTGCAGGTTCAAAATGCATTTGCATTATAACGGAGATGAAACCTGTGGGGTATTCAAACTTAAACAGAAACAGTCAAAGCATTTTAAGAATGTCTAACAAGTTATCTTCTATTTTTGCAAGTTTGCAAGCTAGTTTGAGCTCTAGGTCAAAGAGTAGTTTGATATCTGTAGATGCCTCCACCTCAGCCATTAGCCTCCACCTGTTGCTTCTTCCATAATTTTTTTGCAAACCACAGATGGGGAAATTCTGCTGCAGCTCACTTTATATTGCTTAATACAGCAAATCTAGACAGAAGATCAAACCGAAAGCAACTGCAAAAGCTTAAAACTGTTTTGAGTTCTGAAATCGCACTGGAACAGGAGCCGTGATTCTAAAGCAAAGAGGGTCTTTCTGTCTGTGTTTGAGACAGGAACTCAGGAAGTGTTGATGAGAGAATTAATTCAAGATGCCTGTTCTCTCCCCCTCCCTCCCACCCCCTCCCCCCTCTGGTTGCCATCTTGAGGTTCTACCAAGCACCAATGAGCATCCCATATTACAAACGTCTTCTTTTTAAGAATTGCTGCTGTGGCCTTGCTTTGTATTCTGCAGCTTCTAATCATTACACTTTCCAAGTGTCCATAATAGTTTTCTCTCTGGCTCTCTTTGATCATAGGTATCTCCACAGAAATACAGAATACAATACAAAATAGCAGAATTGGAAGGGAACTTGGAGGTCTTCTAATGACTGAATAAAAAGCATTTCTGCCATCTGGATGACCTCTAGAATCGGGTTCCTGGGCCCGTACAGTTAAAGCCCAAAAAACATTTGAGGAGGGAGGTTCCTCTATCTCCACCAGGAAGAGTGTTCCACTTCCAAGGACTCTCCTCCCCTTAACCAGTTTGGTTTTGGAGTTTTCCCGTGGTCAGAGATTTTTTTAAATACTGGGAGTAGATTCCCAGCATCTTTTCTGCAATATGTTGCATGCTGAAAAGCCTGCTATCTTCAGATATTTTTACAGGAATGATTCCTAAAGAAAAGTTTGGAGCAGTTTTTCTCATCTCCTGCAACTCCAGGATGTGTGAACCTCAACCCCCAGAATTCCCCAGCATTCTGGGAGTGGAAGTTCACACATCTTAAGAATTGCTAAGATTGAGAAACATTACTCTGAGAAATATTAGACATGGGTGAGGAATCTTTTTTCCTCCTCCTGTCATGGGCCTTATTCATTCAAGTAATCTTTGTGTGGCCTGTAATTGATGAAGCTAAAGCAAATAGTGAGTGGGAATATCCACTGTCTTTATTATTCTTTATCTCTTGTTTCTAACACTCCCAGTCTCTCTCTTGGAATAGAAGGCTGGAAGGAAGGAACTAATATGTTTTACCAAGGCCTGAACTAATTTAATGCAGAGGAGTTTTGAAATTAGGTACAAAAGTCATAAATGTTGGTTACAGGCTGCCCATATTAATTATTGTTGAGTAGAGTCAAGCCTTGCTAAAAATAATTATCTTCTGTCAGAATCATTGTTGAGCTAGTTAGTCTAATCTGTAAAAAATGAGACATAAAAGCCATGTAAGTTTCTAGGGGGGAAAAGAGGATTTAAAATATGGCAATAATTCACATGATATTGTTTTTAAATTACTTTTTTCTTAAACATATTTAAGGAAAACATCTCTTAAACACGTCTGAGGATCTCAGTGGGAGGAAATTGATAAACCGTCCTTCTGACTCAGTTTCATTGTCTTTGTCCAGTAGAAATGCAGCATTAAAAGTTAATTTGCTTTCCTGTTGCCTCTTCCAGACAGATCTGTAAAGAATTCACAGAGCTCCTCACTCAGGATCGAACCCCTCTTGGTAATGCGAGACCAAGCCCTATCTTAGATCCTGGCATCCAGGGATGTTTGACTCACTTCAGCCTGATCACACATGGATTTGGGAGTGCTGCCATCTGCGCTGCCATGACCTCTATGCAGAACTACCTGAATGAAGCGCTCAAACTAGCAGACAAATCATACATGAATGCAGGAGATCAAAGCCCCCCAGATGCCAATAAGAACCTTGAGAAGATGGACAAGCATCGGAAGTGAGCATGGAAAAGATGACAAAGAAATGAAAAGTTACAGAGACACACACACACAGAAGACAGATTTAAAAACTGTTACTGCACACAGACTTAAGATCTTCTTGCCTAGAAGGCATGTAGATATCTCTTAGAACTTGCTTTGGGGCATCTTTTTTCTTTTTTTTTAAATTTTCAACCACATCCTTTTCTGGAGACGTGTGTTGTCTCTCTTCTCCTCTTTAAAGCTGCTGTTATCCATTCATTTGGGACCATGTACCTGAAGGTAAACATGGATTTATCTTTTTATTTTTATTTTTTATTTTTTTTAAAAAAATTAAATTGTAAAAGGTGGTGCTATCTCCTTTTTTCTCCCTCATATGGAAATTTGTTACATGCTGTACCTAGACCCTTTTGCAGGCAATGCTTTTCCTCCAATATACGTTGTATGGTGGAATCTCAATGAAATTCAGCAATAAACCAGTTTCAGCAGGTTGCGAACAAATGTACTTAAGTCACATGCTCACGTTCTCTCCCTCCATGGGAAAAAGAAGCGATTGCATCATCTTTCTGTTCAAACAAAATCCAAGGTTTATTGTTACATCTGAAAATGGCAAGCTGTGGTTTACTGAAATACAATAAGCTGCAATTTGATGCTCCTTGTTTCTAATTAGCCAAGGTTTTGTAACCTCCTCAGATGCATCAATAAGCTATAATTAAATAGGAAGCAGATGTTTCTGTATTCATTGCCACTGCCAAAGGACCAGATTTCTATATGTGTTAAAGAGACAGAGATGGAGAAGGGAAAAGAAAGTACATTGGCTGGACCAAGTTCATTTTAAAATTATGGTTAAACCTCGTCAGTTAGGCTGTGTAAGTGAGTTCATGCCCATATCTTGTAGAACAGGACCAGCATGATTATGTAGTAGTTGGTAAGTAAAGTTTTGGCAAACTAATTAAGAGATATAATTAAAAAGTTTTGAACGTGCTGTGAGATTCAGGCAAAGACTTGATCATATTCTAAGATAATTGCCTCAGTTGATGCTCAGACATTCACAGCTATCTAGATTATGCATGAGGAACCCTCCACCACACCCCAAAAAGCAGAAAAACCATATCTGGTCACTAAATTGGGTGGATTTCAAGTGTTCTCAACTGCTGAAATCTTATGACATTAATCTTGTGGCAGCATAACCTTATATTGTGTTGTTTGGCGTCTGCAGCATTACATGGTATCTTCTGAAAAAGTCACTCAAGAAATTCCAATTTTAAATGTGCATCCATGCTGTGATATGGAGGTTTTACTGGGTTCCTATTACTTCATTGGAAACCAGCAAGTAGAACACAGTGCAGTATTAGTCCCCGTTTTTTCTTGAGTTTTTGACAAAATACTGAGATTTCTGATTTAATTTTAGAGAAAATCAGGATAGGAATAAAGTGAAATAATGTGATAGTTTTGAATATGTTTGCCTTTCTTTTTTTTAAAAAAGTTTTGGTTTCTAGACATAATTTAAGAAATGTTGCTAAAGCATATTTTAATATAATGAGGTTACAGGTTTTACAAAATAGAGTTGCAAGACTGAAATGTTCTGTAGCAGATCTTTTTTATTCAAGGAAGAGTTACTTGGAGCTAATATTAAAACCTTTAATTTTTCATCCACTTTAAAAATATGAAAAAGAGATACTGCAGCTTTATGTGTATCATCAGGTCATTTTTTTAATTAAAAAAGGAAAAAAACTTGAAAATAGGCACGTAACTTTTAATTTTTTTTTTGTTTGCCTACATAGGCCAAAAACATAAATATAAATATATATATGTATGTCTCCAGGGAAGTTTTATGTGTATAAGGGAAAAGAGTGTCTTGAATGTATATATTTATTTATGTGTAATTTAAAGGGATTTGTAAATAATGGTGAACATTTTAATACTTTTTTTTATAAATGGGATTCAGATTTTAAAAGTTTTTCCCATCCCACAAAAAAAATTATAAAAAAATGAAATAAATAAATAAAATATTGGCTAAACTGCATACACTGCTAGATGATGTACAGTCTTGTTTTATGCTAAATATTTAAAAACTTTTTACAAATAAAATAAAATTCTTCCCCTTTTTTGATCACTGGAGAGTTATATCTGTTTGGAAATGTCTGTTGAACAAGCAGTCAGTGCATATTTGATAGTATTTGGAATGAGTGCAGATGCATTGTTTATCTGGGGAAGGTGTGTGTGTGTGTGTGTGTGTGTGTGTGTGTGTGTGAGTGTGAGTGAGTGTGAGCAAATAAATAGAAATGATAAAACTGCAACCACTCTTCTGTGAAGATTTTCTATTCAGTGTACCATTGTGTGCCACAATCCAAGCAATTAATAGAAATATTCTGAGCAGAAATATTGAATATTGTTTACTGGGGAAAACAGATTATTTTTTTTTCTAATGGCGATGGAACAACAAACCCTATAAAAGTAAAGTTCAACAAATCCCTACAACAGCAAACCCTACAAACATATCTATATCTTCCTGACACTGCATGGCTGCTCTAGTACAGGCTAGTAATGATAGTTACTGTAATGCCTGAACCCCATTTGGATGGACTACTGTAATGCACTATATGTGGGGCTGTCTTTGGACACATTTGAAGCTATAACTGGGACACAATGGGGCAGACAGGTTGCTAATGGACCAAACCTGCTATTTCACAATAACACCAATTTTAAGATGGCTGCACTGATTGCTAATAAGGTTTCTGGGCCCTATTAAAGGTTCTGCTTATACATTTATGGCTATGTGAATAGATCACAAACTACTACCATTGAAGAAAGACCTGCTGAAGATCCTACTCCCTCAAGAGGTACATGGAATTTGGCTAATATGGCAAACATTTGGCTAATAGCTTTTTATCTTTTAGAATAAACCTCCACCAGAGATGTGCTTGGCACAGTCCTTTATTGCATTTCAGAAATCTCGGAAGATTTCCAAGATGGTTTTGGCCCTGAATGGGGTCACTGTTGCTATTGTTATTGATACTTGATTTTACTTGTACTGCTTGCTTGGTTGTTGCATATCATCAGGGCAATTGATTTGGGAAGTTTAGAAATATTGTAAAATACCTGCGTATATAAGTTCAGTTAATAAGAACTGGTATCATAAACTACAGTAGTAGAGTTGGCATAATGCTCAAGACTAAAAAAGTGCTATACAATCTAGTGCAGGATGCAATTCCAGTCTGCAGAAGTTCATTACTTGAATGCATCGATCAATAATAATAACCATAATTATAATAAAAGGACTAGATAATCAAGTAACTAGAAATAACAGGAGTCAGTAGAAACATCAGAAGTGTTGTGCAAAGATCAATGACACAATGGAAGACAGTTGCTAATCAATGGTGATAGACTTGGGAGACTCTATTGTTTGTCGTTGCATTGATTCCTCTGTCAGCAATACTGAACAAGCCAGGCCAAGGCTACCAAGTCTGGATAATGCACTTGTGATACCCGGAGAGAGCAGAAGAGAAGAGAAAGAACTGGAGAAAATAAAAAAATACAAAGACCTGCAGATAAAAGTAGAACTAGGGTGGCCAAAGAAAGCAAATATAGTAGCAACAGTAATAAGCGCAATTCCAAAACATTTGAGGCATCACATAAACACCATCGGCTTTGACAAAACAACACAAGTCAATTGCAGAAGGCAGCTTTACATGGAACAGCTTACCTCCTGTGATACCTTTAATATTAAACAACACTTGTCTACAGGTGAAACTCAAAAAATTAGAATATCGTGGAAAAGTTCATTTATTTCAGTAATGCAACTTAAAAGGTGAAACTAATATATGAGATAGACTCATTACATGCAAAGCAAGATAGTTCAAGCCGTGATGTGTCATAATTGAGATGATTATGGCTTACAGCTCATGAAAACCCAAATCCACAATCTCAGAAAATTAGAATATTGTGAAAAGGTTCAATATTCTAGGCTCAAAGCATCCCACTCTAATCAGCTAACCCTGCAAAGAGTTCCTGAACCTTTAAATGGTCTCTCAGTCAGGTTCAGTAGGGATCACAATCTTGGGAAAGACTGCTGACCTGACAGTTGTGCAGAAAACCATCATTGATACCCTCCATAAGGAGGCAAAGCCTCAAAAGGTAATTGCAAACGAAGTTGGATGTTCCCAAAGTGCTGTATCAAAGCACATTAATAGAAAGTTATGTGGAAGAGAAAAGTGTGGAAGAAAAAGGTGCGCAAGCAGCAGGGATGACCGCAGCCTGGAGAGGATTGTCAGGGAAAGGCCATTCAAAAGTGTTGGGGACTTTCACAAGGAGTGGACTGAGGCTGGAGTCAGTGCATCAAGAGCCACCACACACAGACGGATCCTGGACATGGGCTTCAAATGTCATATTCCTCTTGTCAAATTGCTCCTGAACAACGAACAACATCAGAAGCGTCTTACCTGGGCTACAGAAAAACAGAACTGGTCTGTTGCTCAGTAGTCCAAAGTCCTCTTTTCTGATGAGAGCAACTTTTGCATCTCATTTGGAAACCAAGGACCCAGAGTCTGGAGGAAGAATGGAGAGGCACACACTGCCAAAAGCATCAAAACCTGGTTCAGTGACCGTGGGATTACTGTGCTTGATTGGCCAGCAAACTCGCCTGGCCTGAACCCCATAGAGAATCTTTGAGGCATTGCCAAGAGAAAGATGAGAGACATGAGACTGAACAATGCAGAAGAGCTGAAGGCCGCTATTGAAGCATCCTGGTCTTCCATAACACCTCAGCAGTGCCACAGGCTGATAGCTTCCATGCCACGCCGCATTGAGGCAGTAATTGCTGCAAAAGGGGCCCAAACCAAGTACTGAGTACATATGCATGCTTATACTTTTCAGAGGTCCAATATTGTTCTATGTACAATCCTTGTTTTATTGATTGCAGGTAATATTCTAATTTTCTGAGATTGTGGATTTGGGGTTTTCATGTAAGCCATAATCATCTCAATTATGACACATCACGGCTTGAACTATCTTGCTTTGCATGTAATGAGTCTATCTCATATATTAGTTTCACCTTTTAAGTTGCATTACTGAAATAAATGAACTTTTGCACGATATTCTAATTTTTCGAGTTTCACCTGTATACTGGATCCTTGGGAAGGACTCAAAAGGTAGACAAAAATGCCAAATCTAGTCTAAACATCTGCTTGACTCTGACCAGCAAATTTATTAAATTTGTCTGTTAGTCCTTGTAGATTTTGCCCTAAAATGGACTTTGAGCCATTTCTAAAACCATTTTGATGTATATGCTTGTAATTACTAATTGCTGTTTCTAAAATGCTGATATAAATACCTATTTATATATACCTATACCTATAGATGGCAATTGAAAATGGCAAAAGAGACTTTCTTTCTTTGCTGGCAGCAGTGTCACTATCAACCAGAAACTCTTTCTTCCTACAGTAGGGCAGTCATGCAAATTGCTACCATCTTTGCTTTCTTCTGCCACCCTAGTTCTACTTTGTATTTTGTATTTTTGTCTTTGTATTTTGTGATTTTTTCCCAATTCTTGTTTTCTGCTGTCTCCAGGTATTGCATTGCATATTATCCAGACTTGCTAGCCGTGGCCTGACTCATTCAGTATTGCTGACAGAGGAATCAATGCAATGACACAATAGACTCTCCCAAGTCTATCACCATTGATTAGCAACTGACTTCCATTGTTAAATCTGACATTTTTTGTTAAAACACAGTTAACAAAATGGAGCCTTAATATTTTCATAGCTTGTCAATAGTAAAATCATCATCATCCCAAATCAGTTCAACACAGAATGAAGACTTATTTTGCTGCTTCCAACAGTTTCAACACGACACAAACAATTTTGAGTTAATGCCTCTAAATCAAGGTTTTCCAAACTTTGAGGTGTACCTCCCTTGCAGACAGACCAAAAGAGATGTGAAGAACCTTTCTGTTGTACATTGTTACAAAATCCATCTTTCCTGAAGTTTCATTGCATTGTTTTCATTGTTCATTTTGGTGTTTGGATTTTTTAGGGGAGGTGTATAGGATTACACAGGATTACATTAGGATTACACAGAAGAGAGCTGTGAGCGTAAAACATTTAGAAATATTGCTGTAAATGGTGTTATATTATCTGTCCCATGTTTCTTTGGGTATCTAATCACAGCATATGGCTGAAAAATACAATTTTTAATGCATATTTACAAACGAGTGAAATTTAACATTCACTTTCTCTAACTTGAGTACCTCTAGATACATTTGACTACAAAGTCTATCATTCCCAGCTAGCAAATTTACTAAAAGCTCCAGTGATTTTACTGAGATTTACTTTTTAACCTATAAACATGAATTTTTAATGGACTGTTATTTTAGGCAGAAGATGTGATTATGGCAAATTCTTATGAAACAATGAGAATGATGACAATGTTTAATATTATTTCTGTCCCTCAAAATGTTATTTTTTCCTTTGTGCCGAGAACCTTTGATCATGCTAAAGCACATTTTAAATTAGCTAAGCAGAATATATAAGCATTCCTTTTATTAATGAATCATTGGAGTAATTGCCCTCTGGGAGAAGAAACAAGCATTTTTTTCACCTATTACAATATGGATCCAAGTGAAGCCAGCAACATTGTCTAGTGGGATTGAAGTAATGCTTGATACAGATGCCAGCATTCAACAAATTCCTTTCAATGCCTGACTAATACATATGATTGTTTTTATGCCTGGTTCAGTGCTTAAGAAACCTTAGAGACTTCGGCTTCATAGAGGAAAAAGAAATACCTCACTAATTAAGATATTGTACTTCTGGGAGTTCTGCACAAAATGTCAGGGTGGTCAGTGTTCTTTTTCCTTTTAACACAGTTATCCATTTCACTCAGGAAAAGTAATAATAGTAATAATAGTATCATCAACAAGAAGCTGCTGCAAGAAGATCACACAAACAGACTTCAAGCAATGGCATGACTGGCAACAATGGTGCATTGGAATATCTGCTACAACTACTGTTTGCTTGCAAGCAACAAGTGATGAGATCACAAAATAGGCCACACAATAGAAAATGAAGATGCTAAGATGCTCTTGAACTTTGGAATTCAAACAGACTGGCACCCTACCGCAT